TGCTTTTGCTACCGCATCGCAGTACCGGCGATCATTTCACTTTTCGTCCACATCATAGTACCTCGATCTTAATAATCGATCTCTCCTTGTATCTCAGGTGGCGTACCGGTATCTAATAATTTTGTGGCCGTTTTGAGAGTGAAATCTGATGTTTTTAAAATTTTGTTGGGTGGCTATAGCATGTACCATTTTTGTGTACAAATGTGATGTAACGTTAGGCCATAGAAATTACGCAGGAAAATCACTACATGTAGCGCATAGCGCATACTTTTATTTCTAATTTTTTTGGTGGTCTTTTTGGGTCCACATCGTATATCTTCACACAATCCTTATGTCATTTAAATTTGGTGAATATATTTTCTAGTAAATGGAAGTTTTGTTACTTTTAGTGCTTTTTTGGTTGGACTTTTTCAACCTTGCCGTCTGTGATTTTTAGTGTAAAAATACATTTTTAACATCCATTTTATTGCATATTATGATTTTTAACAACTCAAAACCAACTGAAACCAATAGTATTTGTGATAAACAATGGACAAAAACAAGTTTAAGTTTACCAAAGTGTTTATTTACACTTAAACAGATGTTTATGCCTTTTTATTAAATTTCACAAAAATTCACCATTTTCGTACACATTTCCTATACAAAATAATGACATTTGATCGACATATATATTTGGCCATAACTTTGGATTGCACAGGTCAATTTTTTCCATTTTACCATCATTTGTTTTCATTTTGGGTGGGCTTTACAATGAAAGCAATCTCTTAAACAAATACAACCATTTAAAAAAAAGTTCACTAGCCCTAATAATAATAATAATGTGCTGCATGCATGATGGGTCGGCTGCCCAGAAAAAAACCTGTCTACATGTCAGAATTTTTTCTAATAACCCCCCCCCCCCGCAAAAATTCCTGGATCCGCCCCTGAGACACTTTAAAGGTGCATGGCTTGATTAAAACTGCAGCTGAGATACACTGTGTATGTAGATTAGAATGAAAAACTAGATTTATTGTACGTGCACATGGTATACAAAAAAATATGAGTAAAGTTCTCTATAGGCATGTTTATTTCAGGCAAAACAAAAAAGTAGTGTGTTAACGATAACGGCCTGAAAAAAAATTCGAGGTAGATAGGTAGGGAAATAATTTTATTTTGTATATATATTTTTTCATTTCAGTTCTGCATGCCCATGCATGTTCTTTCGCGCTCCATTCTACTCGTAATTTCCTAAGACTTGTCTCAAGTTGAAAGTACTAGTAACTCAGAGTGGACTAGACTTGAAATCAAGTCTGTAATGAGTGGTTTTAATCACGTCTGCCGCGCGCGACTCAACTGCCAAGCTCTGTGCCGGGGGTACGACGTACCGCGTGCTGTCCTAGTAGCGGGGACGCTCCCTACATTTTCGACCCCATGCGTGTGCGATCCCATGCGTGTGCTGCATTACAGACTTGAATAACTCGTTGTCAGGTGTGCACAGGCAATGAGACTTGCTACCAAAATTGGACGGAGCAGTCTGATTGTTAAGAATCAAGAAAATATGAATATTCAACAGGCATCTCTTAGCCGATGCGTTTTTGGCTTGCACGACGACACACACAAGTTTACATACGTATATATACACGTATACAACCAATTATCGCGGCATGTTAGTGTAGTCTTCACCAAACATTCTCAATAGCTTACATCAAATTTCTTCGGATTTCCTATCGCCCAACGTTAAATTGGAGGTGTTGGAAGCTAGCACTGAAAGGTATAGAGGTTCCATTGACCATGGGTTGCGAAAACTGGGGATTTCCAGTGCTCAAAAACCCCAACAAACTGTGGCAATCGCAAATTTTCTTGACGGCAACGACACCTTCGTGAATCTACCCACCGGGTACGGGAAATCCCTGATATACCAGCTAGCCCCTTTCTGTATCGACTTCATAAAGGAAGGTCTATATCACGTAATGTAGGCATACTTTCTTCACTCACGAAGCCTTTCAAGCCTTGAGTAGAATACCACCACAATATAATTACACATGATTCAACTAATTAAACCAACATGATGAACTAGGGCCATCGACCAGTGCATAGCGGTTCTGTAACCTTAAAAATGGGCACAAACCGCGAACGAGTACGAGTTCGTTTTCAGGGTGACAGGGCCCACCGTAAGGTCATGACTAAATCTGCTAAATGCACTTCAAAAATCTATCAGATTTATCAAAAATCTGCCAAATTCCCCAGACTTACTCGAAATACACTAAAAACACCTTAAATAACATGCAGTTTTTATAATATTGCCTTAATTAAAGTTCAAATTACATTTTAAACAATCTATAACCACATAAAGGTAATATGAAATTTCAGGCAAAACTCGTTTTTTAACAAAAATATGTCAAAGTTAGCCGAAAATCGGCTAAAACGGTCACTATGCAGGGTGATTAGTTAAACTGCAACAAACCACATGGGCCAAAAGGAGCTAACATTTACAGTCGGCGCGCACTTCATTTTTTGAAGGGGATTTACAATTATTCGTAGCAGTTTCAACTTCCATAATCACTTAAATATTACTCCTTTTATTCAAAGACAGTTGCAAAAGTACCAATATTATCTACAATGTTATACTCTTTTTTTACTGTAATTTTAGAAATAGGACTGCCAAATCAAATGGAAACTTGAAAATGATCATGTAATAATTACCCCCATATTTATAATGGATGTTTCTTCGTAAACCAGATGGGCTACTATTGGCCCTCGCTATGGAAACGTCATGCATATGCATTGCAGTGGCTGCATATATGAATATTCGCTTGAAAACGTGTTAGTCAAGTCGTTAGACACAGACTGACCATGCCGCCCGGTAGTACATGACTTTGGCATGGCATGAATGATTGTAGCGCTCACGTTGCATGGACGGCGGTGGTATGCGGATTCTGGCGCTGATGACGGACATAAACCACTATAGTCTAACGACTTGTCATCAAGTCTAAGAGTGGACAAGCATTTCAGTAATTTTCAATTTGAGAAGGTACCGTTATATTTTGTTCACCCTTCATTCCATTGTTGTACACTTACTTGCATTTTACCCAGACTGATGATGAACCTCCGGGTTGCTGGGTGAATTTTTTTGTTTTCACTCTGTATTCAATTATTCAGGCATTCAAGATATTCAATCGATACATTTCATTCCAAATTAATTCGTACTGTCCGTCGGCCAGGCGAGTCTCAAACTCAAATTGTTTTAGATTGTGAATTGCAACACGACTCCAGTCAGCCTGTATTTTGTTCATAAAACGACGGCTGCTGCATGCATTCTGCTTTGTGGTCTCGGACCCAGGCGAAGAACTATTTATCCATACAGAGAATAATGCAGTGAACACAACCATCACGGACTGCATGCTGCTAAAACTATCTGTCACATTTACGGTACGTCTGTACGATGAACAAGAAGCATCGATATTAGGAGGATTATTTGCTGGCCTGTGGACGTGGTGGTCAATAAAAACATCGATAAATGTCTTGCTGAGATCTATGTTGATCAATTTCAGCTGAGCTGGTTGATATATATATATTCATGGTTTATTTATTCAATCATACAAAAAAGAGACATTGCAGCCAGAGGCTGAATTGCGCCTCCTCTCACAAGTTCACAATAAAAATTACAAAACCATAACATTAAAAACAATGAAATTTACAATAAATAACATAAAGGTCACACTTGGAGGCACTTCTCGATTTTTAAACTGAACAATTTTGACACTTGGCCGTCAGACGCCACGTTGAATTCAAAATCATGACATTGTTATGACAAGTAGAAACTTGTCCATGTACACGTGAGCGAATAAAGTGTAGGCTGGTGTGATATGAAAATCAGACTCCAATGAAAATCGGACTCATTTTCCATTATTGGTGAAATCCTCTCACGTAATATGCATGACCGTGCGCAAGTAATATCCCAAGAAAGAGTCCGTACAATGTATTTCATAAAAACCTAAATTACGTATTGGCTGGTGCTCACTACTCGACCTCATGCATCAGATTCAAATGAGCTAGCTCTGCACACGCACCAGTTCACCCCGATGCGTTTGTGCAAAAATAATCGTGCTTCATGTAGTTTGAGAATTCAAGTTTTGAGATCGTAGCGATTTTCGCACGTTTAACACGGGTGTGTTTGTGTCAAATCATGGTCAGTTTCAAGTATGGGAAATGGTTTATGTTCGTGGCAAATAATTAAAAGTACTTGAAATGTTTGAAATTTGTTCATTTAAAATTATCAATATCAACCTTCTAAAAAGATTGAGGTCAGCAATTTGGCCGAAAAAAATCCAGGTCGGTCGGGTTACCGTAAACACACCTTTTTTTTTTTTTGGGCTCATAAAAAATGCTTCTAATTTCCCCAAAACCGGCAGCACTGATCCTTAATTATTTATAGTGTTTGATTGATGATCCTTCATACAAGGTGGATTACAGAAATCAGGCCTTCACCTTTAAAAGGTATTATATAAATCTAAACCTAACTTTTTATGGAGAAATGTTACAATGTACATGTAGGTATAAGACTATCAATTGGGACTTTAATTAATACACCTTCAGGTGCAGGTTCAGTTAAGCCTACACCAGCACAGTTGATTCACAATATTACTGTAATTACCGTACATGTAGATCAAGGAATGATTAAAGCAAATGTGAGTTTGCTGTCTTCAAACGTCAAAGAAAAACTTTTAAACTCAGATATTGACTATAATCAAAACAATGATATTGGGTAATTATGCAAAACCTAAATGTAAGTTTAGTCGCTGCTGATGAAGGGGTGTTTGAATGTGTAAACAACATCTTACACCTTGGAATTAGGTGAAATCAGTTGATTTAAATGATTAATGACCCTCAATTTATATATTTTGCCAAAAATAGACTTTACAAAAAAAGTGATGTATATCAGTGATTTTGAAAAAGTAATCAGTTGATTTAAATCCAGATTTAAATCAGTATGTAAAAAAAGGAATGTTTCTTTTAATTAGACAAGCTGAAAGCTGGACGAAAACGTGATGGAACCCCTGAGAAACCAGTGAGTCCCAATCAATCTCAGTCACAAATGGAGGAAGACATTGTTCCTGTCAGTAAGAAGATTCTAGACGGTGAAGACATCAGAGCTTTGGCCATTGATCATCAGGAGTTGGCTAAAGTAAGTACAGTACTTACATGAATTTAACTTCTCAAGTCATTAATTAATGATTACATTTATGATATTTAGCCAAAGTCATCCTTTCTCTTGTGCATAATACTGAGGTCGCTGTGCATTTTATCCAAGGTGAAAATAATTTAATAGTTACATGTAAATTCACAATTGTAAAAGTGGAGGTTTTTTATAAACCTTTTCTTGTGCACACTTGTGTATTGTGTGGCCCTTTTTAAACTCATTGATAACCCATATATCTATTTCTTTAAATGTCCGATTTTTAAAACGTGAGGCAGTGGAATAACTCACGCGGAATAACTCACGACCATAATGAGTACCGGTAACTGTAATTAGAAATAAAATTCCAAAAAATGCAGTGTAGGCCTAGTCCCAGAAATGAGAAATCCCTAGGTTTTGTGAACCCCCCCCCCCAAAAAAGGAGAGTGACGAAGACAAACAAACTTAACTACCACAGGCAGTAACTATGGACCATGTGGATGTCCATAGATATAGTCGTAAGTGTATAGGAAGTGTCATGAATCTGTGTGGGAAAAATTTACTTGAAAGACGAAATGCAGTTTGTGAGAAAAGGCAAAAACGACAAAACCTGAGTTAAAAACATTCGATTGTAAATAGTTTGGGACAATTAGTTGAAATAACTGTTTAGCTGTACATTGAACTTTCGGTAGTTAGCCAATGGTTATGTTTTAAAAGATGGCAGGTTTTTTTGTGTTTTTTGTGTGTGTAAGAAAGTAGGGTTTAATATGAAGACATTGATGAAAAGTCACGGCACAAAATAAAGATGGTGATATTGCTGAAACAACGGATTTGTGCCTTGTTAGTGCCGTTCCACCTTCCAACAACTGTGACTGATTGTTCAGTATTATTCAGCACTCTTGGGCATCGCCACCCAATTTAGTTCATCATTGCGATTTGTAAAGCACGTGCCTCCGTAGGAGTGGTATACAACAGTATTAATGATCTGCAACCTCTGAAAATATCGCTACATGTGGATTTTACTCTAGCCGCAACACACGTGCAAAAGCTGGCCAAAACACCGCTCAGGCGCTGACAATATCACACAACACACTCTAGATGAAAGATTGCACGTTGCGCACATAGTGGTCGACAGACAGGTTGTGGCAGTTTAAGCAATGAATGTCACCCCTCTGTACCTGTAAAAAAAAACACACACCTGCACACTGGAGGGAAAAGATTATCGGAGGGAAAAGAGTTACGTAAGAGCAGCATGCACCACAGACCCTTTTACGGATAGCCCGGAAGTGTGCAGTGTAGGCTTTTGATTGGTTACACCGTGAGCACCATGGACCCTTTTACGGATAGCCCGGAAGGGTGCAGTGTAGGCTTTTGATTGGTTACACCGTGAGCACCATGGATCCTTTTACGGATAGCCCGGAAGGGTGCAGCGTAGGCTTTTGATTGGTTACACCGTGAGCACCATGGACCCTTTTACGGATAGCCCGGAAGTGTGCAGTGTAGGCTTTTGATTGGTTACACCGTGAGCACTATGGACCCTTTTACGGATAGCCCGGAAGGGTGCAGCGTAGGCTTTTGATTGGTTACACTGTGAGCACCATGGATCATTTTACGGATAGCCCGGGAGTGTGCAGCGTAGGCTTTTGATTGGTTACACTGTGAGCACCATGGATCCTTTTACGGATAGCCCAGAAGTGTGCAGTGTAATTGAAGCAATGCATCAACAGTGTTGTAGAACTGGTACTCGTACTCGAGTACTACTCAAGTACTTTTTTTCTCGTACTCGTACTCGAATGTCAAAGTATTCGTACTTGAAATGACAGTACACATGTCGAAATTGTACTTGATCATCAAAGTACTTGTACTCAAATAGCAGAAATGGTATAGCTTGACTTTATATACCACGGCCTTATTTCATCGATACTTTCAGTTTGAAATGGTTGATTGGCTTGTGGAGAAACACCGGACAAACACATTTTACAGCTAGCCGTGAGTGGGTCCGTGTATCAGTCTGACTGGGCTTGGGGCAATTACGCACAATGAACCATTTGCCGTATGGCCGTATTTGGGAAATACAACTACTCATACTCGTACTCGTACTCAGAAGTACAGTACTCGTACTCGTACTCGGAAGTAAGAGTACTCGTACTCGGAGACCTGTTCTTGTACTCGGAGGTACAAGTACTCGTACTCGTACTCGGCAACCTAAGTACTCGGCAGTACCGGTACTCGGTACTCGGAAAAAAGTACTTGACTACAACACTGTCAGCATCGATCCCTCGTTGATCCCAAAACAGTTGATCTCAAAATAACGCAACACTGAATTGTACGTGGCGGGCAGCAAACTCACAACGTCAGCCATGGTGGAATTAACACCACTCACACGCATCATCATGTACATTGTATGCAACATACCGGTACATTGTATGTTCATATCGACATGGCGAGCACCGTAGACCCAATTAACCTCGTGTGTCAAGCAGTAAGCGTTGCCATTGACCATTTTATGGATAGCCCGGAAGTGTGCAGTGTATGGCCAAGGTCACTACTGTTTAGGGAACAACGCCCAAGTAGAACTCGGAAATGGAACCCATATGTTCAAGCCGTTGACCACGCACAACCTTGACTCGCAGAAAAGCAAACACAGAGGGCATCCAGGCAATCAACGTGAAAGCGCACACGAAGGCCAAATTGTGGTCTGCGGGTAAAGCTGCAGGTTGGGGGTTTGAGTCCTGCCTGGGGTCATGGTGCTGTGCTCTTGGGCAAGGCACTTTGTCACTCATTGCTTCTCTTCACCTAGGAGTAAATCGGTACCTGTGAGGGCAGAGATGGTTATTGTGTTTGATTTAGCTTCCTTGCGCCTAACAGGCAGCTTAGAGCTGTATACTCCCTAGGAAGCTGAGATGGTATTTTGAATGTTTCAGCAGGGGTAATGAGCAGGGGTAATAATAGGTCAATACTTACATTTCAAGCCATTTTCTCCAGTCTTTGTTATATTACTTTTCATGCCAATTTACATATCTGGCAAGTCATTTTAGTTTTGTGTGACATGGAACATCTACTCTAATAATTCAGTAAATTAGGACCAAAATCACCAATTTTGTTTGGATGGCTCTGGACTAAAACAGTGACACAACAGTGACAATAATTGCCTCCCTCAAGTGTTTCAGATTTGTCTATATTTTCATGATAAAAAGTAGTTTTGTATTTTTTTTTTTTTTTAAATAGTCCTACCGGTACCTACACACTTTTGGGGGGGGGGGGGCAGTGTAACCAGAACAACAGGTACATGTGTAACCAGGACAACAGGTACATGTAAACCCTAAGTTATTAGAAATTGTGATAATTAAAATGAATTTATATATCTCTGCATCACTAACTCTGTACCATACAAGATTCCAATCGAAAGGAAATGCAGCACATGTACCTTGTTACCAAAATTATGATCTCGAAATTTAAAGTGTGTGATATCCATGGATGAAGATCCTGCGTGTATATTTGAAAGACCAGTCAGTTCCATATTGTGGAACTTTATCAGGTAAGGACATGTTCACTTTGGTATATACTGTGGAATTGACCCTAAACAAAGCTTTGGTGAAGGGTATTGTGGAAATGTCTTTCTGGGCTTTCTTTTTTGAGAAAGATGAAAATAGGGTTGAAATACCAGCACCTCAAACCTTTTCATTTAACCAAACACACAGATACGTGCAACCAAACAACTTTCAGCTGGCTACAGCAAAGAGATTGTAAGCAACAAAGTCACTGTGCGGAAGCTACAGCCTCAAGCAGAGTCGGATAAACCAAGAACAAAAAACATCTTGATTGCCAAGCCAGCTCCACCTAATGCATCTCTCAAACAGGAGGATTTCACAGGTAAAAATTTGTAATGATTGTTATAAGCTCATGTAACTCTTTTTTTTTATGGATTTCTAAACTTATTTTGATATTGCAAAACAATTACAATGCAGAATCAATGTGTAATTAACAAGCACGAGTCTTAAAAATGTACATGTACTTTGCATAGCCATGGTGGAGCCATGGTGGAGCCAGAGGGGGCCATGGCCCCTGCCTGTTCCCTATGCCTTAAAAAGACGGCTTGCCTCGGCTATTCGTTGTGCACAGGCTGTTTTAAAAATAATTGCAAAATCCCACCATACCTACCTTAAACATGTACAAGAAGCCTTACTGTATATCCATGCTATCATGTATGCATTCTCTACGAACACGTGCAGTACGCGTACAATGTACTATGCAGTGCCAACTGACCCCAGTTCGCTGGTGCATGATATAGGTAGCCACTCCACATCCCCTATGCATATTCTCAGCTTGAGCATCATCATCGACATCATCGTCATCTATGGTGTATGTTGTACATTAAAAAGTGATATGGTGCTTCCTTCAAGTTGTGCAAATTACAATCACTGATGATTATATTCTGTTGGACACCAGAAGTAAAGCCTACACACACTAGTAACAATAACTCTTGCACAATTTGACTGCCAATGGTTTGGCCTAAAATGAATCTGAACCTAACATTAGGCATTCAAATTTAAATTGGACTGAATTAAAATCGAGAAAATTTCAGGAACTTTTTTCATGGAAACATTTCATTTTTGTAGTAATAACATGGCTAAAAACTAGTGTTAAGATGTGCAATGTTTTGCTCTTCTGCTTTTACTTTGATTTAAATTAGGGCCTACACTGATTTTGACAAAACATTGAGAAAGGGATTTAAAGATTATGTCAAAAATATAATCCTTTTTTCCAAAACTAAAACTATGGAAATGGAAAATGCTTGGTTTATCTGGTGCAGGCAGTTTGTGATCGGAGTAGGGCTTTATTGGCAGTGTGTATGATTCGAGCAGAATTTCCTTTGATCACCCCTGTTGATTGGCTCAAACGTTCACCGAGGTTTTCACTGATGGTGGGTGGAATGAACGAGCATTGAGGTATCGGTCTGTATGTGTAGGTTTTCTGTATACAGAGTGCCTAAGTGAACCATCGGCCCGTTTGGAAATGAGTACATCAAGGAAAGGCAATGAATCGGATGCAAAGCCTCAAATCTTATATCATTATTACTATGTTGCCATGACATGATGAACACTATCACTTCAATTACATTATTAAACGCACGGACCCGGTTTGTAAAGGTTGGCTGGACTTAGCCGCCCTTGTTTAAAATTCCTGTGTGCACCTTAAAAATTCAAGAAAATAGTATTGTGAAGTTATCATATTTATCTTCTCTATGAGCACTTAAACTCATTCATCTGTGTCTGTAAGATTTCTTTCACTTGTCGTTGTCATTGATCGAGAGGACTTTGTCTTTGCTTCATTATTACCAGCATACTCTCGAAAAAGTGGCCGGCCACCATTCTATACCAAACCTCATTGGCCGTGGGTTTTGTGCGTAAACCTTATCAGTCAGCCGATCACACTCAATTGACTTCGGCACAACCGCAAGTTCCATCATAAAGAATAAGTTAACCTGACCATTTTTTACGAGAGAGTGTTTCTAATGGCTATAGTGGGCTTTCAAAGAGAACTTTTGCAAATGGGAAAGACACTTCGGAAACATCCAATCAGTTTGGATATTAACAGTATTTAATTAACAGTATTTAATTACTATTATTTTTCGGTGTGGTGGTTGGGGGGGGGCTAGACAGACGATATATTCGAATGGCGCAATAAGACCGACAGCGGGCACAATAAATTCGCGATTGATTTGGGTTTCAAAAATTTCTACGTGAGTCATTTGCATAAAAAGTGACCCCACATTTTTTTGTGAAAAAAGAGACCGTCTAGTTTAAAAATCGGTGGAATCGTGTAAATATAGCCGAGGATCCTCTCCCTAGCTTTTGGGCTATTATGTAAGAGCAAATTTGATAAAATTAAGGTAAAAAAATGGGTCCTATTTGCAAGAGAAAATGTAGGGATGCCATTGGTGAATTTGGCAGCACGCAGGCTCAGCCATTACCAGCATACTCTCGTAAAAAGTGGTCCGGACACCATTCTATACAAAACCGCATTGGCCGAGGGTTTTGTGCGTAAACCTTAGGCCGAAAAAAAGTAGTTCTGCTTCTGATTACATGCCTTTCAAAAACAGGGTCGGTCGGTCGGAATTTTTTATATTTTTTTGGCCAATTTTTTTTTTTATGCAGATTGAATGGGATATTCAATTATATGCAAAGTTTTAGCCTGAACTATTTCCATTGCACTACGAAAGCTATACACCCAAAATGGGCACAAAAAGTGAATAAAACCTACATGTACCTTGATTATTGTCAATATATTTAAGTTTGTGATTCTTTAAAAATAATGGAAAATTCAGGTCGTTTGCACCATATGCACAACGCTAGTCCAGACGTGAAACTGGCCAAAACTCCGTAGTGTGTGATGCACTGTGCATGTGTGGCGCGCGGCCGACAGACCTTGTTTTTACTGTCGAAAATTTCGGGAAACACGCTGCATGTACAGTCGACTCTCGTTAGTACAAACTCTGTTCATACAAAATTCTGGTTATAACAAACATAAAGCCATGGTCCCGACTGTGCATTTATGTGCACAATGAATGGGACTGATGTTCCTCTTAATACAAAATTCTGATATAACAAACAATTTGGCTAGGTCCGAACGAGTTTGTTATAACGAGAGTCGACTGTACATGTATCACTCCAAATACGAGTAGTGCGATCTCAAAATGACCTCTTGAACACGGAAAATACATACACAGACAAGCTAGATCAATTCTGTGAATTAACTTGCAAAAATGTTCTTTCTCCATCGGTGTTTTCTTGGCATTTTTACAATGTCGAATCCGACCAGTTGACAGTGCACCGGCCTGCAATGCATAGCCATGCTAGCGTTATAGATCGCATAGCCATGCACAGACTGGTTACCGCATTTTCATATTGTCTTCTAAATTGGCCCCTGCGCGGCGCGGCGGGAACCAGTCATCCCTGCATTGAGCTAGGTTTATGCACGTGACTATATAGTCACTGTGACATCGAATTGCGAAGAAGTTATATCGCGAAGCAAATTTGTAAAAATAATGGAGCTTTCTTTTGAAAAAAAATAGCGAATTAGTAAGAAAACAAATAAATACAAGCATTTTTGATGCAAAAGGGTTGTTGAGAGGTATTTTGTGAAGACAGAAAAGACAACAAGATTTTATTTTGATTAATTCAATCATTAATTTTTTATATTTTTGGGGGGAATTTCCGATAACATTTTTAGGGTCGCGGCCTAAAAATAGGGTCGGTCGGGTAACCGGAAGCCGAAGTATTTGATCACACTCAATTGACTTTGGCAAAACCGCAAGTCCCATCATCAAGAATATAAGTTAACCAGACCATTTTTTACGAGAGCGTGTTTCTAATGAAGATAGGTTTACATGGGTCTTGAGGAGAAGATGACTCAATCAGCCAAGACTTCACATCTGAAGGTTTTTCCCCCTAACCATAATTATTACTTCCTTTTGGTAATATGTGTTATAATTTATACTTTAACTTAAAAAACATTTTCTTCTCTGCTTTGCTTAGTCATTGTTTTACACATTGTACCAGGTCTCACTCTTAAACCTATTGTCCTGTCTTAGTCCGTGTGTAGTTGTTTAAGTTTTGTCCTGTCCCAGGGAAAGGTACAAAAGCAGTGCTTCACCTTTTTCCTTTATGTTGACTGTTCATTTAATATTTACACTTAATTACATACTGTCTGTGAAGAATGTTTTGTTTATACATATACTGTTTTCTGTCTGAATTGTTACCGAGGATGTCAATGTGAAAATAAATGTCGAATTGATTTGATTTGAATTGTGGATAAGGGCTTTGTGGATACATTGCACATAACAGTGACAGAATAACGATTGTTATGGAATGTTTGTCTATTTTGTAGGTTTTGTAGGACCTCGGTTTAATAACGATGGTGGCATCATTCCACATAGTATTCTTGGAAAAGTGGAAGACTTCAAGCTAGAAGCTGTGAAACATGGTCATTTTGAGGTATGGATTTTTCAGTTTGTCAATTAAGATCGTGTACGTGCGTTTTCTCAGAATGTGTGTATACATGTGCAATTGCCTCATGCACTGTATTATTGTTGCCTGAGAACAAGAAAAGAATATGGGTAGATAAACAGTGTATAAACAGGCTCATCACAAGAGGTCGGTGCCAATTTTAATAATTTGCCTCTATCATGTAACCATTTGACATGTCCATGAACAACCAGAAAAATGAATGCACAGTGATTGACATGTGTGCACACTTTTTCAATACATGTACAAGTTGTAAACCGAATGGATGCATTTCAGACAATTATTGGATGTAAATTGCAAATATTTCCACATACTAATCTTAGAAAAAATGCAAGAAATGTTTCAATTAATAAATTTCTTGTTGAAAAACAACTGAATGTTTGCATTCGTTTTGGGGATTAATTATTTCGTTAAAAAAAACACACAAAAAACAACACAACAATTGTGCATAATGTACAGGTGATGTGTTATACAATGTGTAGTGAAAATTGACTGCTGTAACGTGGAGCTCAATAAAACTGTTCATCCAAGTGATCATTTGTAGAGCATTCTATTGCCCACCTGCTAAGTGAAAGCATGGAACAGTGAGAGGGGAAAATATTGAGAGAACTTCCTGCTTGTCAACTCGACCACGCATACTGAAATTTGTATCCTTGTGGAGACATTTCTTTGCTCTCATGTTCTGAAGTTTTCGAGTTTGAATGTACAGTTTTAAAATGCTCTTATTTTAACCAATATTAATTTCCTTGGCTGAAATTCGGACTTAATATCTCTTTTCTAAAACTCTACCATTTGCGACAGATCAATACACCGTACCTTGGAAATTCCTAGTTTTTAAGTAAAATCCATATATGTATTTCGTGAAGACCTTGTGGAGATGTATTCATCTATAGAAATTGCCCTGTGGAGACGTATACAATCTTTTGTTCCCTATTGTGTGCATGTCTCCAGAGGGCACGGTGTATCAGATCAGCTGTGTTCATTAAGTTTGTACACATTTGTTTATTATATGTGTTTGTATTTGTGTTAATTTAACTAGACAAAGATAGACTCCATTCCAATCAGGCCAAAGACTCCAAGCTTGAAGTATGAGAAGAAACAGAAGAATGAACCTAAGCCACGAGACCCCTTCCTGGATGAAAATAATGCCCTGGTCAATTGGCAACTTAAGATGATAGAGAGGAAAAAGCAACAGGGCTTCATATCAAGTGAGAGCAATAGCATGATAATTGGGTTAATGCAGTTACATTATGCAGAAGAATGCTGCTTTACCTTATAACTTGCTTTTGGGTACTATTTTTCGTGAAAGTGGACTTGGACGAAAAGTGGAAATTTATGACATTTTCAGAACTACATACATCACAGCCTTGAATGTGGTATCAAATATTATATGTGTGGTGTGCCAGTAAGTTGAACTATATAAAATAAATCCGCCAAATTTGTTTTGGCTAAATTAATGCGGTTTTAGGTAGTCATTTTGGCAATCATATTCTTTGTTTAAATTATTTTCTCTGTTTTTTGTGTGCGTTTTTTTTTGGGGGAGGGTGTTTGTTTTTATTTGGCTTATTCTTGTAATTTATTGTCTCGCCCGAACGGAGTTCAGGAAAGAGACCATGCAATCACTACGTGTCTGTACGTATGTCTGTACGTGCTGACCATAACCCGCATGTGGGGTGATGGTCCTTTCAGAACATCACCCCACTTGTGAAACCTATAGAAAAACATCACCCCGGATGTGAAATCTTTAGAAAAAGGGATAAAAGGAACACAATGCCATCACCCCACATGTCCTTCCCAATGAGTCGTCTGTATGTCAATATGTCCTTCCGTATACATTGTACATGTATGTGTGTGGTACATTGGTTAAAAACACACCGGTAATTTTTCCATTTTTCTAGCATCATATTGAGCATGTGTGCTTTAGAAACATGAAATACATGTTAACAATTGAAAAGGACCGGTGTGTTTGCTGCCACCACCATCTCAAAAGTCTCTTATTGGAACCAAACTTGAGTCATAGATGTAATATGGCAATCTTCATGATAATACTGTCAAAGGTCACATACCAAGGTCAAAGGTCATCTAAGGTTGAGTTGTCCACTAGACTGAAAATGTAAAATTGGTCTCATTTGAAAAGTTGATGTCCAATTTGAACAAAACTTAAGTCGTAGCAATGGCAACCTTCATATGATAATTATGTCAAAGGTAACATGCCAAGGTCAAAGGTCATTTGAGGTCAAGTTGTCAAATTGGTAGAAATTGTAAAATTGGTCTCATTTGAAAAGTTTAAGTCAAATGGGAACTAAACGTGAGTCATAGATGCAACATATGGCAACCTTCATACGATAATGATGTCAAAGGTCAAATACCAAGTTCAGTTTTATTTTTACAGACCACATTCTCCAAGCTTAAATGTGCCACTTGATTCTCCACTTCTTGCTGCAGTTCACCGCAGTTCACTGTAATATTTCCATCATGAGCAGTTCATACAATTCCACCCTCATTATAAACTAGACGTGTTGATTGTTTACAAACAATGCAGCTGGCTTTTCTGCCTTTCAAGATGTTAATTATCAGAAATACTCTTTCATTCAAAAAAATGAACACAAATGATATATACGGTACGTTTGGAAGATCATAAAGTTTCAGTTAAAATGTGTCAAATCTACCGATCTGCAGAATATTATCATGTCAGAAAACTAGTTAAATAGATGGACTTTTTCTTTGACATTAAATCTCATTAAAACACATTGATGGTGTTTATCACAAATTTAGCAGTACATTTTCCAACATAAATCGTGTTAGACAATGTTCAATCAGAATTTTGAGCCAATCAGACTAATAATTTCCTCAATGCAAGACTTTCAGATTTTGTGCAAGTAAACTCCGGCTAAACGGACATCATACAACTCGTCAAATCGTTCAAGTCGGCCGTCTGAATAAAGTCCCGATTGTCCGTAATGCATTTCCATTGAATTTTTTATTTCTAAGTTTGCATTTATAAGTCGCCATTTCGCTCAAGACGTCGTGTTACTGTCGGTCCCGTTTCCATAAAAAGCATTACAAAATCCTTTGCGTAAGTCGGCATTCAACAAATCACGCATTAGCATCGACTTCCTGTGCTGCGGTTTCCAAGAAGTGTCTAGTGAAAAGTGGTTTGGCACGGCCCGTGCCGTGATCGCTGCATATAGTACATGTATCGGTGTCGAAAAAGGGTGTCCTACTGCATACATCCCATATATGCATTGTGAGCATATCAATACCAGTACCCCCTCTAGTCTATATGCATGCGCTCTGTCCATTTTGGGGGTCATCTTATGGAATGACTAGTGCTGCAGTCAATGCGTGCGTGGTATATACCGGTCCACGCACGCATTTAATTTGTTACATGCGTGCACGTACATATGTTCGTGGTCTCCACTATATCAATACCCCAAACGTGATGATACAAATCGAGGATTAATTTGCTGGATTCAACTCAAGCATTAAGGAGATACACCAGGGTAAATCGAAGCCAATTAGTGCAATGAATCATGTGTGCAAAAGGCCATTCATATAAGTCGGCAAAATGACGACTTACAGCAGATCTCGGCATTAGTAGCCGTCACAATTTCTCAGGTCCCGAGAGTACCGACTTAGCCGGAGTTTACTGTACTATTATCTACCCACCCAATCGGATACTGTTTTGGGTCGACAAATATTTTGTCTTTGTCTGATTCGTGACTCTGGAGGATTGTTTTCTTTGTATAAACTCATACATTAAAAAAAAAACAGCAATCAAAATCGTATAAAATCAATCACACATGTAGGTGTAGCCTAACATATGATGACGTCATCAAGATGACACTTGAAAACAATCACACGTATAATTTCTTAGTTTGTGTCAAATCTGGTCTTGATCTGATGATCAAAGCAGTGGCAACTTTCCTCAGCAAGGTTTCAAAATCATGACGTCATCAGACCGGAAGTTACTTGCAGGGAGAATTTGAAAATGATAATTTGTTATTAAATTCTATCATTCGATCCCAGTGTTATGATTATGTTCCCAGTCAAAATAATGATCTGTTACAATGTTGATCTTTGGATCTCTAATGTTGTCTGCCCGACCACTCTGCATTTGTAACTCAACAAATGCGAACCTCTTGTTTATTATGATGTTCAAAATGGTCAGTAGGCTTTGAATATAGTAACTTCCATTACAATAACGATGTGATAAGCCATTTGCGAGTGACCTATACCCTTTGGGATTTAAAATTGAAAAAACATCTGGTACACCGACTTGCTCAGAATGTTTGGCACATTTTAACTTTGAATTCTCCAGACCAAAGACACTGTTTCTAAAATCACATGATTTGGGGCAAGCTCTTGCATAGTTGCGTAAGAGACGCTCAGCACCAATGCATTGTTCACAATGGGTGAGAATGGCACAAGACACCAGAGCATGCCAGAGCTGAGGGTTGCTAGCGTAAGGCTTGCCTTGAATCACGTGATATAGTAACAGTCTCTTTGGTCGGCGGTCGGGAGAATTATGCAAAGTTTAAACATGCAAAGCATTGAATGAAGTCAGCGTTCCAGATTTAATTCAAATTTAACTTGCAAATTGCTTATTGCCCACTTGCAAAATGTCACAATACCCATGTTATCAACGTGCATATTGCCATGAATTATGTTTAAAAGCTTTTACAATTGTAAGAAATTTAATGTATTCAGTGTGTGTGGTCCAACTTCAAGTTTTGACAGTTATTAAGTTTTACAGGAATCCACTTTAAATCCAGGCTTCTGGCAGAAGTGAGATTCATGTCAGTTGTATTTTTGGGGATTTATAGTGGTTATTAACAGTCAGTAACATTGGGCCAAAAATGGGGATTGACATTGTTGAGTGCATGTGGTTTGAGTGCATGTGGTTTGAGGAATCAGATTACTTTCATCAAGATATTAAAAACTGTGCAAGATACCGGGGTAATTTACAGTTGTGTTACGCTAGCATTGTGTTCTTATTCCAGTCTCTGCTAGATTTAAAGTAGTTTCCTAAAAATAGGTACGCAACAATGATTCAGATTTACTTTTTGGTGAAATGTAATGTGTGTTTCTTAAATTTATTTTTCAATGTGTTAACACAATTGTATGTATTTACAGAGTTACTAGAGAAGCCAGTGTCATCTTTAGTGATGAACCATGGTGATGATTACCGTAAAGTACAGGAAGATCGATACCTCATCGAAAGGTCAATTCCAGCAGTAGACTATGGACGAGGATGTAAGTAAACATGCACAGATGATTAAAAAAAAGTCCAATTTTCATTTTGTCCACGGTCTTTATTGCCATTTATTAGGAATGTAATGGATTTGGGGTGAGGGTAGTTTTGCTCTCTGTCGTGTTTCTTTATATGGTTCTTTTTTGGTTTTAACTCTTTTTTTTAACAATGGTTATTTCTCCTTGTGGAAGAAATATTAGTCCTGAAAAGGACAGTTTGGTTAAACTTCTTACGTTTACTCTTCTGCTCTGCCCTCTGTTAGTAGCCTCTTTCAGGGATGCAATCTCCGGCCCGTGTTCTTATTGCAGCAGTCAAATATCACTCGCCGTGGACAAAATTAAAAAAACGGCACTTGTTTTCAATTGGCCAGATATCAATAATATTTATCCAATTAGAAACATGTTTTCGTTGTTAAAAAACTAATGAACTATACACATACTCTCCAAATGTGTATTGATATTTGTGATTTATCATTTTATATGCTGTAAAAAAGATGGCACTTTGAGGGGTTGGGGGGGGGGGGTTTTGGGGGGGACACTGAAGTGCAAAAGGCACAATTTTGCAGTGGGTGTTTGATGCAATTCTGTGAGCTGCTGCTATCACAAACAGAGCCATCCTTTGTTAAAAGCGATCTAATAATGTGTGTGGGGGGGGGGGGGTTGTTTAAATTGAGGGACTAAGGTTTTGCTTTAAACATGTGAGATAAAGGTATAAATTATATTAAATTCACCTCTTGGAAAAATTTGGTGTTTTGTTATGCAGTCTGAAAATTACAGGTAATTGGCTGTAATTGTTCATTCTGTAGGTGGATATTTTTTTGAGTAGGTACTAAATTTCAGTGCCTGTCCTTCTTTGCTAAAGGCTTTAGAACTTCCTTGATGTCCAATGTCCACAACAAATAAAAAAAACTATTTGTTTGTTTCAATGAACTACCATTGGACTACTGTTTGGTTCCATCTCGATGATCATTTACTAGAGTGAATGGGCAGTACTAGGAGAAACAGAATTGGGTCTTGCAGACAAGGAGCTGCCATGATGAATGATGATGAATGACTGGGCAGAGACTGCTAAAGAGTTTTGCATTACCCTGGACAATGATAGCACACAATATTCATGACCTGCACCCGATTTCACGAAGCGCTGCGACGCGTCGCAACTCGAGTTACGACGTGAAACACGTCGCAACTCGCGACGCGTCGTATCTTCCATTTCACGAAAGTTGCGATGTGTTGAACGCGTCGTAAGTTCCTTGACAACGGCTTAAAACACGTCGCAAGTTAAGACGTGTCTAGTGGTCGTCACAAAATAAGAAGAGTCATTTCTATTAAAGCCAGTTTTATGCCATAAACATTACATTAACGAGATTATAATACCGAGGCAATGTGTGTAAAGTTGTAAATAGAAAATTCATTGAATAATTATGAATTAGACCGGAATATTAGAATTGAAATTTCAAAGTAGCTATACAGTCCAATGAGAGTTTTTTTTCCTTCAAAGTTGCATCGCACGGCCGCCATTTTGTTTTACGTTTTAACAAATTTCGAGCTGAGATCCGACGACTGTTTGTTGAATATCAGACGACTATTTACTGTACGCTGACTAAATACATAAAACAGTCACCGAGTTGTGCTATAAATACACCTACGACGCGTCGCACTTACGACGTGTTTTGTGAAATGGATCGCAGGACGCGTCGCAGCTGCGACGCATCGTAGAGATACGACGCGTCGCATCGCTGCGATGCATCGTAAGTTACGAAGAGTTTGATGAAATCGGGTGCAGGGCTCGTGGATTATGGCTCCTGAGCTGTTGTGAAGTGGCATTGTGTGCGAATTATCTTGGCAGAGTCTTACGGGCATGGATATAACAATACTGAGAAATTTAAGAAACCATCTATCTGATAATTGAAACAAGCCTTATATTTACATCCACATACCGGTACCTTTTGTATCTTGCCACTCAGGTAAAATGCAACAACGATTTAGAGGTTGTTTAGCAATAAAATTGTTAGCTCCAATGTTTACTTAATTATACCTTACTCCCTAGTGTCTTTTACTGGGAACTGGAGCAAGTCCATAAAAATCCATCAATCACTGTGGTTCCAATACAAAACTGTGCATGACATAATGGAATCCACCGACCCACTGGTTGACATTCATGGACTTGCTACACATGGCTTTTATCACAATAGCAATACAGGAAGCTAGATAAAATCAATCGGATACCCCTAGCACTGCTTCAGGCCATTAGGCCCAAGTCCATCATACTCCATCAATATTAAGTTACACCAGGCCTGCAAAACCAATGCCCCCAATTCCACCAAAATGTGGGGATGGATTTGGATGGAGTTGGGGTGGTTAGGGTTAAGTAGGAATGCACAGCCCTAATGGTTGGCTAAGCTTTTGATTTAATAGGATTGAAGACACCAGTCCATGAGAAGTCCTAGCCTTTGATTTGTTAACCCTCCTGCTGTTTGAACAGTCACAGACAGTAAAAAAATATCATTCCGCTCCCCTGCCATGCCTTTTACACAGGCAAGTCACCAACGGTCAGATCATATTTCATACTGTGACTAGTCAAATTCAGTCAACAGACAAAAGCAGGCAAGAAGAAGGCACAGCTGACTTATCAATCACCTACAGTCAAAGCATAGCTGTGTCAAGTTACAAAACAGTCATAGCAAATCAGTTGTTTAAAATGTAGTCTTGGAGTTCTTAAGGACAACTTTGCACAGAATGTATGTTTGCATAGGAGGTGTTAAGGTTTTTTTTTTTATTGTTACTAGAAAGATGCGTAAAAGTGGAATAAAACAAAAATGACTTGAAATTCATTTTTTTAGAACATGTTTGACAATGTTGTTTGACTTTGTAGATCGTATTGGCAGTGAGTTCTGGAATCAACAGGAAAGAATTGGAGATGACATATCAGGGATTCAGTAAGTTATATTCCGTATACATTTACAATGGGCAATTTTTTTTTTAAAAGGTCTAATCGATGGGTTGGGTGATCATTTCTTTGCCTTCATGAGTCGGCCATCTTGATTCGAAAGTGCATGAGGAGCTCCCGTTGGCATTGTGTGGTTCCAGACATCCAGACCTCAACAATACACAACTTAGCTATGAGCTCTGGTGTAATCAACAAAAACAATACAAACACCGTTTTTGCAGGTACGGATCCAGAGAGGGAGTTTTGGGGGTGGACCCCCCTCCCCCTGCTCTGACACCCAAAACCATTTTTACTGGCAGTAATATATGCCTGTGCACACAATTCAGACAGAGAGGGCTGGGTGACGGGGATATTTGCATGGGCGTGTAAGGGGGGTATTTAATTTTTTTTTTTTATTTCATGTCTGTATCACTCTGAAAGCACCATACATTGTCTGTTAGTGTGCATAATCGTCCTCCCCCCCCCCCCCCCACACTATATTACTTTACGGAGGCAAAGTGTCTTGAGAAGAAAAAAAATGTGTCTACATTTCAGTATGGATGTGCAAGTGCCCTTTTCAAGAAATATTTACCCCCTTCCCTCAATAAAAATGACCTTGCTACGCCACTGATTTGATGACACTATTCTGTAATAAAGTGTTAATAATTGTTGGATTTGAACACCACCCCTATTGAAAGTATGGTATAAAGTATGGTACGCCGCCACCCCCCACCCCCCCCCCCCATTCATGTAAATGAAATCATTGAGTGTGCGTGTATGTTTTGTCTAAAATGCTCATGTGTATTTCTGAGTATTTAATGTTATTGTTTGTTGTAACAAATGTATCCCGAAAAATGAAATAAAAGAAATACATGAAATACATGAAATAAATGAAATAAATGAAATAAATGAAATAAATGAAATAAATGAAATAAATGAAATAAATGAAATAAATGAAATAAATGAAATAAATGAAATAAATGAAATAAATGAAATAATTGAAATAAATGAAACAAATCAAATAAATCAAATAAATCAAATAAATCAAATAAGTCAAATAAATCAAATAAATCAAATAAATCAAATAAAATGAAATAAACTCTCCGTGTTCCAAGCCATATGCTGTGTCACGGGGTGGTGGATCACGGTGTGAGCTTGCCACATGCATGTGCTGCTGGAACGTTTGGGGAAATCGTGCAGACTACTCAAAACATTACAAATCCGAGTTTCATTAGTGCTTGGAATAAATACATAGAAACAGAAAACAAATATGTGCACTAGCTGAAAAGAAATTTTCCAGTATTGTGAGATTACTAGCTGAATGGAAATTTTACTTTTAGATACATGTCTTTGTATTTTTCTGGCAGTAGATATTGTTGCCAAGTTAGACTTGAAAACAAGTTGGTGGTTTGCCAGGTTTAGTGTGCGTGCTGTGCCGCGTACCATTGGCATTGACTATACTAGCCGCATGCTTACGCTCTGGTGTCAATTGAATATTACATTAAAAGAAGTGATTCACAATACCGCTTAACTGTTGTTAGAGGGCTCAAATCAACAGAAACCCACATTGCATTGTGGAAAAAAGTCAACATCATGTGACTCTGTTCTATAGCAATCACATGCAGCGCTAAAACATCATGCCTTGTCCAAGCTTTCTCAACCAAATCTTGCAACTCTCCCTTCTTGTCATTACATGGGATGCCGCAATCATTCCAATATTTCTTCAGGCATATATTTACTGGCAGTAATATATGCCTGTGCACACAATTCAGACAGAGAGGGCTGGGTGACGGGGATATTTGCATGGGCGTGTAAGGGGGGTATTTAATTTTTTTTTTTTATTTCATGTCTGTATCGCTCTGAAAGCACCATACATTGTCTGTTAGTGTGCATAATCGTCCTCCCCCCCCCCCCCCACACTATATTACTTTACGGAGGCAAAGTGTCTTGAGAAGAAAAAAAATGTGTCTACATTTCAGTATGGATGTGCAAGTGCCCTTTTCAAGAAATATTTACCCCCTTCCCTCAATAAAAATGACCTTGCTACGCCACTGATTTGATGACACTATTCTGTAATAAAGTGTTAATAATTGTTGGATTTGAACACCACCCCTATTGAAAGTATGGTATAAAGTATGGTACGCCGCCACCCCCCACCCCCCACCCCCCATTCATGTAAATGAAATCATTGAGTGTGCGTGTATGTTTTGTCTAAAATGCTCATGTGTATTTCTGAGTATTTAATGTTATTGTTTGTTGTAACAAATGTATCCCGAAAAATGAAATAAAAGAAATACATGAAATACATGAAATAAATGAAATAAATGAAATAAATGAAATAAATGAAATAAATGAAATAAATGAAATAAATGAAATAAATGAAATAAATGAAATAAATGAAATAAATGAAATAAATGAAATAATTGAAATAAATGAAACAAATCAAATAAATCAAATAAGTCAAATAAATCAAATAAATCAAATAAATCAAATAAATCAAATAAAATGAAATAAACTCTCCGTGTTCCAAGCCATATGCTGTGTCACGGGGTGGTGGATCACGGTGTGAGCTTGCCACATGCATGTGCTGCTGGAACGTTTGGGGAAATCGTGCAGACTACTCAAAACATTACAAATCCGAGTTTCATTAGTGCTTGGAATAAATACATAGAAACAGAAAACAAATATGTGCACTAGCTGAAAAGAAATTTTCCAGTATTGTGAGATTACTAGCTGAATGGAAATTTTACTTTTAGATACATGTCTTTGTATTTTTCTGGCAGTAGATATTGTTGCCAAGTTAGACTTGAAAACAAGTTGGTGGTTTGCCAGGTTTAGTGTGCGTGCTGTGCCGCGTACCATTGGCATTGACTATACTAGCCGCATGCTTACGCTCTGGTGTCAATTGAATATTACATTAAAAGAAGTGATTCACAATACCGCTTAACTGTTGTTAGAGGGCTCAAATCAACAGAAACCCACATTGCATTGTGGAAAAAAGTCAACATCATGTGACTCTGTTCTATAGCAATCACATGCAGCGCTAAAACATCATGCCTTGTCCAAGCTTTCTCAACCAAATCTTGCAACTCTCCCTTCTTGTCATTACATGGGATGCCGCAATCATTCCAATATTTCTTCAGTTCGTTGACTCACATTGATCTCACTTGCTGAATGTCTGCCATCTTGAAAGTGCGTTAATGCGTTGTGTAGGCCCTAGTTACCAATGTCAACCCGAGAGCCGGAAATGCAGTTTTTTTGGGATCATATTGGGGGGAAAGGGGCGAGGATGTGCTGGGGTGCACTAGAGAACTGAGCAGCTCCTTCCCCACTGAAATAACCCATTGCATAGCACAGCGTCTCAAGTCCTACTGTCTGGCTTCCCGTGCCGACGCTGTTTTTACTGAATGATGGAGGATGCAAGCGGGTCCCTTGCGCTATAACCAGGTACTCCGGGTAGGTGGAGCTCGTTAGTCTTGGTTTACAATCCACCTAGGAGAAGGACAACTCTGTTCACAAACCCGAGTAGGTAGAATTTGTCAGCCTAGGTCAGCAATCTGCCTTGGAGAAGGAGAACTGATCACAAACGCGGGTAGGTAGAACTCGTCAGCCTTTGCAAATGGCACCACCTCAAAACCCGCTGTCCTGTGGGATAGGTGCAGCACAAAGGGCAGATGATTGCCAGGAACCCCCGGCATCCTCTGGCTAGCCACTGCAGGGACTAAACTTCATGCCTGTCTTGACATGTTCTTGCCAGTGTGAGATAACTCTAGCTCCCAGAGAGAGTGCTGATCATAACTTGCAAAAGCTATCAGCATTTTAACATTCTTGCAAGCAGCTTTCATGAAATGTACAAAAGCAATTATCTCCATACCAGCTCGGTCGGTATGGAGATAAGCTAGGAAGTAAACATTCGGAGAGGAGAATGTCTCTGAAGGTTGCTCAATGGAACGTTAGGACTCTTCTCGACAGAGAAGCAACTGGCCAACCTGGAAGACGTACAGCATTGGGTAGCGATGGAGCTTGAGAAATACCAAGTTGACATTGCCGCCTTATGTGAAACATGGTTTTCTGAGTCTGGCAGACTCAATGACCTGGAGTACACCTTCTAGAGTGGCAAATCTGACGGCGAATGCGGAGCATCCGGAGTTGGATTTGTCATCAGGAAAGACATAGTATCCAGACTTTTGCCTAAACCAGTGAGTGACAGGATTACGATGATGAGACTACCACCAAAAAAGAACTGCAATGCCCCTATAATCAGTGTATATGCACAAACTATGACAAACCCAGATGAATCATTTTTTTAGGAAGCCTTCTACAACCAGCTGGCTCTCACGCTACAAAACACCCCTTGCACGGACAAGCTGCTACTCAGATTGGGGACTTCAATGCCAGAATAGGAAAACACCACAGTAAATGGTCCATGGTCATAGGTAAACATGGTATTGGCAGTTGCAACACGAATGGTGAACTCTTACTAGCTCTTTGCTCTGAATTTGAGTTGATAGTAACGAACATATTGTTTAAACAGATGGACAACCACAAAACCACCTCGATGCACCCTCGTTCCAGACATTGGTACATGATCGATTACATCATTACAAGGCAAAGAGACAAGTTGGATATCCATAGCACCCGAGCTATGCGTGGAGCTAATTGCTGGACTGATCACCAGCTTCTAAGATCCAAAGTCAGCTAAGAAGCCAAAGACAGCTTATTACAGGAAAAGGTTAGAACGGGAGATGGAAAAGGCACTAGACAAATGGGAGATGCGAGAAAGTTTGTCGCTGGACCAGGAGTGGACGTCTCTCAGAAAAGTTGTGCATGACACATATCTGCTATTGGTAAAACCAATCAAAAACATCAAGATTGGTTCGATCCTGAAGATTCCACACTGAAACAACTTACGCAGAAGAAAGACCAGGCTCACCAAAGAGTGTTACAGACTAGAAGTACTAGATCTACTGTGACAGCTTATAAAGATGCTTGCAGGCTGTTACAAAAGTA